GGGGCAGGAGGAGAAGGGAAGGAGAAGCAGGGTTGAGGAACAAAATGGTCAAACGCTGCACGTGGGAGGAGAAGGTGGGATTGTGCAGGAGAAGGAGGAATATCAGGAGGAAGAGTGTGAGAAGGAGAATGGACACCGGAGGAGGAGGACTGGCAGGAAGAGAAGGCACCACGAGGTTCCACCTCTCCCTGTATCTGCAGCCTCCCCCCAGCCCCAGGAGCATTGCATCCCCAACATGCAGCAGGTGACAGGAGAGGGGCAATCCATGATTTTCACTGGGCTGAATCTTGATGTTTCTGAGCTTTATTGGGCTAAATGTTGGTGCTTTTTATCTTTGTGGGGGCTGAATCTTTATCTTTTGGAGGTTTTTTTGCTAAATCATGATGTTTGGGGAGTTTTTGAACTGTGTCTTGATGTTGGGAGTATTTTTATGTTGAATCTTGGTGGTTTTGAGATTCTTACAGTCACAAGATGCCCAGTTAGTTCCTGAGATGAATTTGGGCATAGAGGAGCTCCCAGTCAAAGGCGCGCTCACCTTTTTATTTTTTTTACCCAAACCAGGATTTTTCATTCCCAAGGTGTGGCCTGATGGAGGAGGAGGAAAAGCCCTGGAGATCCCACATGAGGAGGGGCTGCAAACCCAGCCCAGGGAGCTGCGGGGAGGAAAGAGCCCCCCTGAGCCAGGAAGGCGGCCAGAGATCCAGGCAGAGCTCAGAGCTGGTGGAGAAGGCTCGTGGCAAGGAGAAGTCGCACAAGTGCTTGGAATGTGGGAAGGGCTTCAGCCATCGCAGCAACCTGATCATGCACCGAAGGATCCACACTGGGGAACGGCCCTATGAGTGTGGTGAGTGTGGGAAGAGCTTCAGACAGAGCTCCAACCTGATTCAGCATCAGGTGATCCACACTGGGAAACGGCCCTATGAGTGTGGGGAATGTGGAAAGAGCTTCAGAGACAGCTCTGACCTGGTCCGGCACCAGATGGTCCACACTGGGCAAAAGCCCTATGAATGTGGGGAATGTGGGAAGAGCTTCAACCAGAGATCCCACCTGATCCAGCACCAGAGGATCCACACTGGGGAACGGCCCTACACCTGCTTGGAATGTGGGAAGAGCTATGGGTGGAGCTCAGACCTTAGAAAACACCAGCGCGTTCACACTGGAGAGAAACCCTACAAGTGTCCTGAGTGTGGGAAGAGGTTTCAGATCAGCTCCACTCTCCTCAGACATGAGCGGATTCACACAGAGGAGAGGCCCTTCCGCTGCCCGGACTGCGGGAAGGGCTTCACCCGCAAATTCGCCCTTGTCTCCCACCAGCGCATCCATTCCAGGGCGAGGCCTTAAGAGTGTGCCGAGTGTGGGAAGAGCTTCTCCACAAGCTCAACCTTGACCAAACACCAACGGAGGCACCACTAAGGGAAGCCCTGTGAGTGCCCCGAGTGCGGGAAGAGCTTCTTGTGCAGCGCCAGCTCCATCCCCCTTGGGAGGATCCGCGTTGGATGATCCTCAGTGACCCCCGTTGGGCAGTGCCCTGGTGGTCTGTGGTCCTGGTGATCAGTGTTGGAAGATAGCTGGCTGGGGGGCTCTACATCTTCGTGGCTCCCTCTGGGCACTTGGATGAACACAGGGGCAGGAACAGATCCGCGTTGGATGATCCTCAGTGACCCCCGTTGGGCAGTGCCCTGGTGGTCTGTGGTCCTGGTGATCAGTGTTGGAAGATAGCTGGCTGGGGGGCTCTACATCTTCGTGGCTCCCTCTGGGCACTTGGATGAACACAGGGGCAGGAACGTCCATCAGGATGCAGGCTAACAATGCAAATTCCTTAGGGAGAGCGGATTTCTTGACTTTGAACCCCACAACATCTTTTGTGTTGAATCCTATCTTCTGGTGGCATCAAGGAGTTCTGAATGGTTTTGGAGGTCTTTTCCAACTTCAGGGATTCCACGATTTTAATTTCCTGTTGCTGAAGGGCGTCTTCCACAGGCAGATGGTGAAATATTGGGGAAAATACCAAGATTTTGAAGACAGTAGGGTGAAAACTCCACCAAAAAAGGTTCTTCCCTCCCACCCAAGCAGGTGGATCCTCAGCACGGACAGAGAAATCCTTTTCTTTTGGCCTTGATTTTCTTTTCATTTCTCTTCATCCCTTTCAAATATCCAACATGGGTAAAAATAAAGACATTGAATGAAGACATGGGTGTGGTCATGGTAGGACACAGACATGGTGGGACACAGATATGGAGAGTGACATGGGCGTTCATGAACGTGGAGGGGGTGTGGCCATTCGTGGAGATATGGGGGGACATGGGCATAGATGGAGACATGGGGGACAATGACTGGGATGAAAACATGGTGGGACACGGCCAGTGACATGTGGGGACATGGCCATGGCCGGCGCCATGGGGGGAACTTGCAGGGGATGTGGGGGATGCTGGGTTTGAGGGAGTTGAGGGTTTCTGGGAGGGACTTGGGGCTTGCTGAGGCCTTTGGGGATCCCAGGCCGAGCAGCTCCGGCTGTGCTGGGAGACCCTGGGG